ATGCCCTGGTTTTCCAACAGAAAGCAATCTGTATTCCCTGTGAATAGTCTGTGATGCTACTGTACCCAGTGACTCAGGTTTAACTCACTCCCAGTCTTCCAGCAGATTTGCTTCTCGGAGCTGTGGCTGAAATAGCTGAGCTGAGCTCCAGCCGTCCTGGGCTAAGCCATGCAGCCCCCAGTTCACTCTAACTCTTCCTTGAAGATGCACTTGGGCACTGATCGTAGGTTGGAGTAATGGAGGCACAGGTATAGTTCCCTTCAGCACACAGCTAAGGGATGTCACCTCCGGCAAAGAGGCAGGGTAGAAAATGGGGACAGTCACCTCTTCCTCTGGCACAGCAGGATGTGCCAGAATTTGTTCTGCAGAACCTACAGACTGAATTACAATTAGCTGCTAAGGCTGAGGCAGTCTAAAATGCCCACCAGGAGACATCCTAACACAAAAAAACATGTACTAACAGAAGCAGCGGAACCCATTACTACAAAGCTTAAATCCTCTCACCCCTCCCTTACTACTGACCAGTCCACATTTTTTTTTATATGCCCGGGATTGTTGAAGAATACCTAGAGAGAGCACAGGGTTAATTGTGGAGTTTTAGCTGCCTCTGGGGGGGTGACACAGATTGTATAAATAAGATGTTATTCCCCCATTTCAGAGGAGAAATGAAAGATCATTTGGGAAATGCTGCATATTCCTCAAATCCCACACTGGCCAATTCAAGCAATTAAAAATACTTTCCATTGCCAGCAATGCAGCGATGTTGAATCTGTGATCTCTGGACAACTGTAGGTCTGTGGACTACAACCTGGAAAATAAGGCTTTGACAGTACCTTTTCCTTTCATATGGAGGGGATCCAAAAAGCTTAAAAAGCTAAAAACCTACAGGCTGGTGAAGTAGTTCTCTGCCAGCGAGAGAGGGGATAATCAAGGTTATGGTGAGATATTGAAAAATATCATAAAACAGAGAAAACAGTTCTCCCCTCACCGTCCAAATTCATAGCATCACCTTTCAGCAATCCTTTACCCACACAGATTTTGGGAGAGTGGGTCACTACAATAAACTGTATTTTTACTCTTTTATGTAAAGGTGTTACAAAAACCACTGGATTTTAAGCAAGTGTTCACAAGGCTTTTCAGCTGACACAAAGCTATCCTAAAAGCACTCCCACCTCTTATTTCAGAGAGGTTTGTAGGCTTGAACTCTCACATTCCCAGCTGAATTTCTTGCACATCACTATGGAGTTGCTCCACCAATTTTTTTTCTCTCCTGTTGCCAATAACTGCAGAATTACCTTCAGTTTTTGCACTTTCGCCAAATGCAGTTTATTTAAAAAGTCAGAAAACAAAAAAAGAGTTTACAATAAACATCTGTGTCTTTTTTATTAACATGGTTTGATCAACTATGTAAACTCATCCCAGGCGACTCATCATCAGTGGTCAGGCTGTATTAGAGCAATCCCAAGCTCAGGCCATGAAATAGTTAATGAGCCTGTTTTAAAAAACATTTTCTGGAAGTTGCTTTGGGAAAGACACAGATGTTTGTCACAAAATCCTGAGATGCAGTAGTCACTATTCACAGTGAACCCTTAGTTATTCATCAGTAAATCACTAAGGAAAGGTAAGACTTCCTCATTTAAAAAGAGATTGAAGGATTCTTGTCATTCCCCTTTATCAACTTTGACTACACATGAAATTATAACGTGTATGCTTTACCATCAAAATCTCCAGTAAAATCAGGTAATATGTGTAAAATACACCCACAACAAAATGGAGTTTAGTGTATCTGAGAAACTCAGTGCAGGCTTTGTAAAGTGAAATGGTTTGGTAGTCTGACCTCGATCCAACCAAACAGAGCCCATTTCCTTTCAAAGGGACACACTTAAGACTGAAAAGCTAAAAAGAATCAGCTTTAGTTCACTGGGACAGACTCCTCATAAAAGTGCATCAAAAACCCCAAAATATCTTGCTCAATTACAAAAGCTTTTATTCTTGCAGATTCTTAAGATGATGCTCTTTAGAGTGTTTCAGAGGAGAAAACAGTTTCTCAAGGGTGTTTCTGAGCGAGACTGTTAGGTGATGTTTTCAGTGCCTGCACTATTCAAGCTGAGGGAAACAACCAACAAAAAGGGCCCACACATGCACAAAGGAGATCGAAGAGGCAGCCTCACTAGATGGCAACCCCTGGGCTGGTCGGGTGCCCTCACCGCCTCCAGAGCGCAGAGAGGGGCTCCAGTGCTCCTCAGGAGTTACACAGAAGTCTTTTGTTTGGTCTGTGTTGTCAGCTCCTTTCCATCCTTATTAGTCTTCTCGTGCCAGGTACTCCTAAAATACAAATATATCTTCTGGCAGAAATATAGCCATACTTCAAAGAGCACTGATGCTAGATTTCTTTTTTTTTTATTTCACTGCAAGCTCCTATAAACTGAACATCCCCCTTTAAGGAACTGTTGCAGGATAGAGGCTAAGCTGAAGAAACATCTGCAACTGCTGCTCAGTCAGGCTGACTCCAGAATCCTGCCCCCAACTTCCTGCAAACCCACAAAGAACCCTTCCAACCTGGTAGCACTGGGAATTGGCTGCCACGCCAGCCTTGTACCAGCCCTGCTCTGCTGACACCCACAGAGCCACTTCTCTCTCCACTGGTTTTAGACAAGGTCTAAGCCAAGAAGGGTGATGATGCTCAACTTCTGAGCACCACAGCACCACCTATAAGGCAGCAGAACACCAAATAAGTGAAAAACACTGGCAGGTCAGATATATGGCACTTCACGGCCACTTGGAAAAAAAGTTGAGACCTGAGGGCAACCAAACCATTCAGGTTTGCAATGTTTATCCCAGAATCTATTCCTGAAGACCTCTTCTTGACATTATTTGAACAAAATCCCACTGAAACCTGTGAGCCAGTGAAAGACACCTGAAACCAGAGAGCTGACAGGACAGGCTATCAGGATTAGCTCCTCAGTTAATACACATCTGCATATTGAGCTTTTGAGATACATACATCCTAAATGAAAAAAAGGTTTCTTTCCTTAGCAGTGGCCACTGCATTATCAGCACCCCTATCCTTTGTCTGGTCTGCTGAAAGCACAGATCTTGGGTGCACAGCTCAGGTGAGAAAACTGGGCAACAAGATTATTAGCACAGCATCATCAAGCTGAAATACTCCAAGCAGCTGCCAAAATGTGTCCAAATTCACATATGTGAAGCAGTTGCTAAACAAACAAAACCCAAACAAACAAAACCCAAACAAACAAAACAAAAAAAAACCCAAACAGCAAAAAAACCAAGCAAAAATAAAAACACATCTCCACCTGAAATAACAAATAGTCCCCTAGCTAGTCTTGCCTAGGAAGTCTCACATGCAGTTAGGTGCAAGCTCTGCTGGGAGCTGGCAGCACACAGCTCCCAAATGCAAGCTGGGAGGTTTGCCAAAATGAAGAAGGCAGGACCGAGCTCACAGAGTAGGACATTGTCCCATCATCAAAACCAGCAGCAGGGCAGGATTAACCTAATTTGTAGCTACCTTGGCTGGACAGGCTGCCCAATTATCCTCATACACACTCTTGTGAAGCTTAGTGAAATAAACTACTGCAAAACTCTTCTTGAAAAGTGCATGTCCTTAACAGCACTCAACCATCAGGACGCTGGGGTGTTGTGGACCTTCATCCACAGTGGTTCCTTTGCATACAGCTTGTGGAGACCTAGGGCAGCTTTTGAGGAGTAGTAACTGCAGCAGCAGTTACAGCTCTTGCTGTTTAAAAGTAAAATTAAACCATTTTCTAAAAAACATTACCTCCGTTTATTTCCAAAATATTTTGCTTCACCTCTCCACACTTCCCACCATCTTGACCCCAAGTGCCTGAAAAGTTAAAACTGGGTTGAAGAATGAAGAAAACTGCTTTACCTTCCACATTATCTTTTAAAAGGCAGAAGGCACAAGGATTTGTCACCACCGAGGGTAAAACCCCAGGCTGATCCGTATGTGGATCCCGTTTCAAAAACAAACAATCCACTTGGGGCTGGCAAGGAGCCAGACTGTGGAATTGCCTTTGAAAACTTGCATCTCAATAGGAAACCTCCGAGAAGTTTGATCTGTTTTCATAACTGTAACAATTTTCACCCCTTGCCTTTGTAGTGTATTATCGCTCCTTTCTTTCTACTAAGTTACAGAAACAGTCGGTACAAATGAAGGCAAAACAAGCACGGGTCGCTGTGGATAAAATAACGGCATTTCAAAAGATTTAGGAAAGACAAAACCCACTGCCTGTCTTAACTCCTGCCAAGAAACCATTACAGAGGATGGAGGCGCGGTGAAAGCCCCGTGAACGGAGCGTTTCAACGGCAGTAACAACCACAGATCTCGGATCTATTGTGTAGCTTTATTTTTATAGGACCTATCATAGACTCTTTTACATAACTTAAATGATTATCAAATAATCTCCTGTACACAATGAGACCGAGCCGCACTGCTTTCTTGAGCTTTGACACATTCCTGGAAGAAATCCAGCAGTCTGTAGGAATCACATGGCCGCAGTGGTTACAGTAAATTTTTGTCCCGAACTTAAGCCATCAATTAACTTACGTATCGCTTTAAACTGCCGTTTGCAAGATCCTGCAAGACGTTGTTAAAATTTCAGGACACTGAGTTTTGGTAGCAGCATTTTTAATTTTGCTTCACTTTCATTTTCTTGCCTTTGTGACCTCAGCTGAACACCTGCCAGCACTTGTGATGAACACGAGCCTGGGAAAAATGTTAAACGCACCCCAAATGTTGACGTGAGCTTTAGGTTTAGACTGAAATCACTGACGAGCGGTCAGCACGGCCATCGAGGAGCGCAGCCCCCGTCCCCACATCACCTACAGGTACACCAACGCGTCCGCCTACAGCCAGCCAAGTCCTGGCCCCCTACGAAGAAGGACGAAAAAGGGGGGCACCGGCCGCTACAAAAACACCTGAAGGAACCCAAAGTTTCACATTTTATTTGCAGCGTCCCCCAAAACTGCAGGAGGAGGCGACTGGCAGCGCACAAGGGTGGATCCTGCGGGAGCCGTGGCCGCGGTTTCGGGCGTGCGGAGCCCCGTGCGGCCTCCGCGCTGCCCCAGCGTCCGTCAGCCCCGTCCCGGCGGACGCCGAGCCCCGCCGCCCTACAGCCCGGGGTAACCCGTGCGGGGGTACCCAGCGCCGTAGTCGTAGGGCGGCTGCGGCGGGGCAAGCGGGCACTCGGGGAAGAAGGGGGCGAACCCCGCGGGCAGGTGCCCACCCGGCTCCTCGGTGCTGCCGCCGCCGCCACCGGGCACCTGCTCCGGGCCGCCGGGGTACAGCGGGCGCAGCGGCTCGGGCGGTGCCTTCCTGGGCGGGCTGCAGGGCGCGGCCGGGCTCCAGGGCGGCTCGGGGTACAGCAGCCCGCCCAGCAGCGGGTGCGGGCCGGCGGGCAGCGGCAGCTCGTACAGCCCGTGCTCCAGCCCCAGCTCGGCGGGCAGGCGGCCGCCGAAGGCGTCGGGCGGCGCGGCGTGCTCGGGCAGCAGCGCGCCGTACTCGGGGCACAGCAGCTCGAAGAACTCGGACGCCTCGGCAGCCCCTCCGCCGCCCTTCTCCGGCTCCTTGGCGGGCGGCCCGCGGGCGGCGGGCGCGGGCAGCGCCGGCTCCGTGAAGAAGGAGGGCGGCAGGTTGCGGTCCCGCAGCGGCACCTTCCGCGGGCCGCCCGCCGCCTTCTCGCCGCCGCCGCCGCCGCCGCCCGCCCTGGCCTCGGCGCCGCCCGCCGCGCCCCGGCCCCGCTGCAGGGAGCCGAAGAGGGCGGCCAGGCTCTTGCTCTGCAGGCTGCTGCCCGCCGCCTGCGCGGGCTCCCGGCGCGGCGGGGGCCGGGCGGAGCAGGCGGCGGGCGGCGGGGCGGCGGCGGCGATGATGCCGGTGCAGCGCTTGATCTGCTTCTGCAGGTACTTCCTGTGGTTCACCTTCCGCCGCGACTTCACCGGCCGGTCCAGCGCCAGCTTGATGTTGCTGGAGGCCGAGTCGATGAAGCTCAGCAGGTCCCGGGTGGCTTCTCTGAAGTCCCCCGCGTCGCCGCCGCCGCCCTCGTAGCCCTTCTCCAGGTCGGCATAGCCCAGGAGCCCGCCGGCGGCCGGGAAGCAGAAGGACAGGAGGTGGTGGGGGCTGAGCAGCGCGGCAGGCGCGGCCATGGCCGGCGGCGAACGCCGCCGCCCCGAGCTCCGACGGGCTCCGGGCTGCGCCGGGAGACAGCGGCGCCGGCAGCGGGGAAAAGGCGGCAGGCGGGGAATGAGGAGGAGGGATCAGAGCTAGGCTGGCCCGGCCCTCCCGCGCTGGGTGCCCGGGGGCCGGGCCGGCTGCACCCACCCACCCACCGACCCGGGCGGCAACGTCGGCCGCGGCGGGGCGGGACGAGCATCACTCCCCGAGCATCACGGAGAGACACACCCCCTGGGACAGGTACAGAGGCGTCCCCTGAGCAGGCCCATACAGTCACCCCGGAGCAGCTGCACAGCATCCCCCAGACCCCATCAGTCTTGTCCCCACTCCTGCAGCTGCTCAGCCGGCAGAAAACACGTTCCTCACCTGGGGTCAGGACCGGTGGTGCTGGGTCACCTGCAGGGCTCTGGGTGCTCTGGCATGGGGACATGCTCTTGCCCTGACGGCCGCCAGGATGCACAAACCAAAATTACTGTGTAAAGGGTGTTTTTTTCCAAGCTTATTGGTATGCACGTTACACAGAATATTGTATGTTTCCAGGCCAGTCCTGAGAAAATCCAGTGCTGTGATCCAGTAGAGATTTCAAACAACCCTCAAAACAGCCCAGATATATTTTCAGTATTTTTTTTCATCCAAATTTGAATGAAAATCCATATCTGGTTGTGAATGAAATAAAGTGAATTTTCATGATCTGCATCAATTCATGCAGCAGTTTTGTATTGGAAGGAAAAAAACAGAAAGGAAAGCTATGCAGAAGAAAAGGGAAACAGGCTCCTAGGACTGTATTTAGTGGTAAAATGGAAAAATCAGCCAAATTCACCTCACTGTGGTTTCAAACACTTGTTGAACGAAAAGCAAGTACAGCCAAAAAAAAAGTATTGCAAGAGGAGAAACCTATGTCATGAAACATATGTCATGAGAGGAAAAAAAGGCTCAAGATCCTCTACAAAACAAAAATGCTGATTTTCTTGATCTCTCACCAGAATCTCATCAGGTCTCAGCAGGGTCCCAGTGGCAGGCAGAGCCTCACAGTCCCAGGTACAGCCTTGGCTCTGGTGCCAGCAGATCTGGACCGGGTGTCCTTTGCAAAACCTTTGCAAAATAACTAGAGCCTCCCAGAGTCACTTATCTGGGGAGTTGCTTTGAGTACAACTGTGTAATTGAAGAAAAAACCCTGGTAGGCAGAGGGCTATGGGAAATCTATATATCTGTCCATGTCAGAATGAGTATGTCTACACAGAAGGTGGATTTAAACTACTTAGCTCGAATACAACTGATGGGGATTAGTGACCTGAGCTGTTACCCTCAGGCCCTGTCAAGCCCTGTCAAGCTTTGCAGCCTGCTCTGAGCTCCCTTATTGATGCAGAAATGTAAAGAACAACATATGTATCCCCTGTGTGCTCCACTAGATAGTTTTGCATCCACTGTGAGGCTACTTCAAAATGCACGTGGGTCTAGAGAACGGGGATGACTATTCTTTACTGGATGTACAAACCAATTTGGGACCCTTTCTTATGAAAGCAACGTGAAATTACTCAAACAGAGTGGCAACGAAGTTGTCCTCAAATCAGTATCCGCTTCAGCATTATAGCAGCAATATTCCAGCAATAACCCTGTCTAAAGGATTTGTTAATGAGTCTGGGTGGTATTATATGCAGAGTGGCTAAATATCCGGTGGCTTAGATAAAAAAAAGAGCTGAAAGCCCTGGCTTCTCTTCTGTAAGGCTGAATTCATTCAATTAAACAGCTTTGAGAGCTCAGCTACGGTTTAGCGGGAGACTTTATTACCTCCTAAAACTTGGAGAGTATTAAAACAATTGTCAGGCATGCAAAGGAAAGTTTGCATTCAGTTGTGCTAAGCAGCCAAATTTACATATTCTCAACTCAATCTGGAGATTTAAAAAGCCTTCATAATTGCATTAAACATGCTTATTCTCTGTGTTCTCTCAGGCAGAGCTGATTACCCCAAGTAGGGCAATGCCTGGAGGGAAATTTGCTGAGCCACATGATGTCAACAACTTGCAAAGAAACTTGATTTTTTTTGCAAGAAAATAGAAGTTTGTTTATTTCTGCAAAACATCTCTCTTTTCCATCAACTGTATGAGCGAATCTTGTCTTCTGCCTCTGCTCCTTCAGGATGCTGATGCTCAGCCCAGGCAGGATGACTCTCAGGCCCCACCAGTGGTCCATTTCAGCTCACTGGCAAGGTCTAATGTCCAGGAAGGTCTGGGATCAGACCCACAAAATAAGCCCAACCCTAAGTGAAATTTTGGACCAGAATATTGTAGTCCCTCCACTCTTCCCCCATCAGATTGAGGCGAGTGAAGTGGCTGCAGAAGTGCTTCCTCCCTCACAAACCTCCACCCCCCAGGAGAGGACTCAGCACTCACTGAGGGGCCCCAGGGGCTCTACTGTACTTTCTTGCCCACTTTTGTGTAGCAAGTCTATTTTTTTTTTCATTTTTTCATTTTCTTGCTGATTGTAGTGAGCATCATCTCAACCAGTTTTGGGAATTAAACCAAATTAAACCAGCTTTCCAGAGCGATGCCCTCGGCACCAATCTTTTGGTGGCAGCTTTTTTGGTGGCAGCGCAGTCACTCTGTGAAGCAAAGGGAGCAGTGACATGCTGTGGTCACTGATGCTTCACACAGGCCACAGATTGAGCTCACGCCCACGCGATCAGGCCCTTCGCAAGAAGGACAGTTTGTTATCCTTACAGACCAAGCAGCCCAGAAAGGAGAGAGCAACTCACAGAAGCAAGGAAGCCTTGCACATCTGAGGGCTGTGTTACAGTGCCAGCATTTCTGTGAAGTAGTTCCTCACTGGAGACAGTTGCGGAAACTCTATCTGCCCTCCTGATGCTTATGGGGCTGCCCCTCTCAGTGTCCAACATCAGGATAAATCCTTTGCCATGCAGGGGCAGGATCCCACTAGGATTCAACCTGAAGGAAATGTCTCATGCTGTGCCTCATCACTAGAAGAAAGTAGATTCAGGCTGATATAAGGAAGAAATGTTTTGCAATGAGGGTGGTGAAACACTGGCACAGGTTTCCCAGAGAGGTGGTGAATTCCCCATCCCTGGAAATATTCAAGGCCATGTTGGATGGGGCTTTGAGGAATCTAATCTCATTGAAGATGTCCCTGCTCATTGCAGGGGGGTTGGAACTAAATTTTTAAGGTCCCTTCCAAACCAAAATATTCCATGATTCTATGAACACTAGCAAAACCTTCCCCTAGAGAAGGCAAACCGAACCCAGCACTGAGCCCAGCCCTCACAATTCACAACACTCCTTTCCCTTTCATCATGGCATCGGGAAGGCAGCGTGAAAGTAAGAAAATCTCTGTGACAGGGGAGGGAGGATTTTTTTTTTTCTCTTCCTGGTTGTATGGCCCATATGGTTATCGAGTTATGGGAAAATCTGGCTGCCCAAACAGGTGTCACCACTCCCAACCTACAGTCTCATTTCCTGATCGTGTCTTAATCGGCGAGTTGGTTGTGAAAGTTGATTTCTTGCACATTCTTATATCAGTGGGAATTTCTGCCCTTCCCTGACAAGTATTATAGGCAGCCTTTGACATACAGCCCTACAGGACCTAAATAGGCTGCTATTCTTTCCCTACACTGAAAGGGAGCTTTGTGCCAGGGATTCATTAAACTGCACTGCACAGCCCTTCATAAATGGGCTCAATAATGAACAGTCGATTTAACTGGAAAAGCTGCTGGAGCTGTTAAATTAAAGGGAAATAAAGTGCACTTCAGGCTCAGTCTGCCAGAAGAAAATGTTGACCTAAAAAAAAAAAAATCTTTATTTTACTCAATCTCTTGTGAACAGGCTAAAATCTTCAGGAAGTTTATAGTCACAACAGTGGGAACAATTTTAAAACATACCAATTTTCTTCCCCACTAATAAAGATGGAAGAATTGCAATAAAATATTCAATAAAATCAGAAGGAGGGATGAAAGGCATATTCCACTTAAACCAAATTTAGTCCCCTTAACCTAAATTTAGTATTTTTTTGTAGATATGAGATTGTTTGGCTTATGTAGATCCAGTCTTAACTTGCCTTAAATCACTGTAGACCCCTTCAAATGATGCGTGTTCATACATGGTTCTTTCCTTAACAGTCTTGGCTTCTTTGAGATGCTATTTTATTCAAATTAAATCATTAGTGGACACAGGACTGAAGACTCAGCACCCTGCAAACAAAGCCCTGCTCTCCTCTTGCAGCTTCTGGATGCCGTTGTCTCATTTCCTTTCCCCTGTTTCAATCTCAGTGTTTCGGGTTCTCCTGAAATATATTCCCTCCAGAAGAAAGGGCAAAGCAGGTTTTGGTATTCTGGTGGCACTGGTGAGTGGGTGATGTGTTTGTAAGCACTGCATCACACTGGAAAGAGCTGTACCAGGATAAAGCAGGAAGCTGTATTTAGGGGATCATTGCTCCATCAGTAGACACTGTGTAGGCTCATGTGGTCCTTGCCCAGACAGGGCTGAGCTCTGAGATGCCACTGGAGACTGCTGGGTATCAGCAAGGTATTCTAAACCAAACACGAGTGTCTGAGGTGGACACATTTAACCTGGGGTGGGGGGGGGGTTGTATGCTTATTTTAAGCAAGTTTAAAAAAAAAAAATATTCAATTTAGACTTGGAAAAGAAATAGCTTGTCACTCCAAACCCTCATCCAATCAACTTTGTATAGCCAAAGTTTCCACTGAAGCTGAGTTCATAAAGACATTGGGGAGAGACTTCATTTCTAGTTTGCCAGTATTTTCTGAAATTTTGGGGGGTTATGCAATCAAGTCCTTCAGCCTCCAGTTCTGGGATCATGTTGCTCATGAGGCAATAGTTGTTTTGCCCATGTGAGGTGTGCAGGAATCAGCTCAAAAATGGACACACATGGAAGGGACTATATTTCATCTTCTGGATGAATAGGAAAGTCCATCATTCAGCTGAGCCTGACACAACTCTTGGATTTAGAGGAGCGGAATTCCTCGTTTCAGTGAGGTTACTCCAGTGTAAAACTGGAGTTGCTTAGTGGTGAATCAGCTGTTCCA